CCCCCACCCACCCGGCCGCCTCCCGGAGAGCATTTTGTTTAAATGTGAATATCTAATAATGATGACCGCACAAACCGAGCTCCTCTTTACTGTAATTTGTGCCGCGTTTCATGTCGGAGCAGCAAATCCTCCTGCTTTCCTTTTTAATTTTTTTGTCTCTTAATTATACCCTTAGATTTCAAATTAGAGGGTCCACCATCTGGGCTAGTGCGTAAGTACTCCCATGTGTACCTATGTATTAACAAAGTATTTAAAGCAATGGTATTCCCCTCATAATACTAGGAGGAAAAAAAGCATCAGAAGAAGAAAAAAAGCCCAGTTCGTGTTTGGTTTAGGTCAGCTGTGCCACATTTGCTTCACAGTAAAACAGTAATTTAGTGTGTGGACAAGAAATCAGTGTAAATGTAAAAAGGTGACTCATGCTCTCTTTGCTGTATTATGGGTAGAGACAGTTAATGTGTTTGGTCTGTGCTGTTAAAAGGTCAAACTGAATGTGAAACCCAGCACTTAAAGGAAAAACACACACAAAAAAAGAGTCGGATGTAGTGAAGCCACAAACTGCAAGTTCAGCTTTCACTTTTAGGTTTTTCTTACTTAAGTTGTGTTTTGATAATTACCTTTTAAGTTGGGGAAAAAGCTGTCCAGATGTATTAAATATGAGTTGATTTTTTTGTTTTGAAGATAAAGTTTAACAAAACAATGTAGAGTAGCATCTGAGTTTGATCAGGAAACATTTTTTTCGGATATAAAAACCTAAACAGATTTAAAAAATGTTCTGATCTTGTTAAAAACTGAAACTTAATCTGAATTATATCACATAAAACAGCTTACTCTTTCCAGATATACTTATGTGATTCTGAAAAGCAGGTATGCACTCAATGTAAACAAACCTTGCTTTTTGATTTGCAAACTTTACTAAAATTAAAAATAAATAACAGCATCCCAAATCTTTTCTATGTCGATGTTTCAGCCTTATTTCCAGTCCCTTCGGCTGTTTATATTTAAACAAATGCGTGTTTTAGTTAGTGGCTGTACACAAATTTAGCTTGCAAATTTTTCTTTTCTTAAAGGACCAATAAGGACCTCTCTTTTGACCGGTTGTCAGGACTTTGTAAACCTTTTAAATGCAGTTTCCTGTGGTACGGCTGAGAGTTATCAGCGTTTTCCAGCTGCTGCTTGTGAAGGTGCATCTAAAATGATTATTGGAGTGATTTATTTTTCTCACAGTGCTGCTAGACTGCAGAAATGTATTTCACTTCAGGGAAAAAAATGCTAAACTTGTTGGCAGAGCATGCACAGAAACACGTGCTAATTGTGATTTAAGTCAAGCTGGGTGGAAATAGAGGAATATTTGGGCCTCTTTAATAAGAAAATGAGACTTTTTTTATTCAGAAATCCTCTTTATCCTCCACTATTCAGAGCTCGGAGGCTATAAAGGAACTCCCTCATGATTCTGGGTCAGTCTGGGCCCTGTGGTCGCTCTCTAGGCGGTCTGTGAGGCCCGAGTGGAAGCTGAATCCTGTCAGAGCTGTCGGGACGAGCCATAATTGAGTTGCTCTCTAAAAGCCGGTATGATGCGGCTCGTGATGTCGGTCGCCTAAACAAGCCCAAGCTGGTTAATCAGGAGAGATTTATTTCCCTGCAGCCATGACTGGTCTCGCTCGGTGGGGTTAACAGTCGAGGTCAGCGGTGTAACTGAGATCACCGCGGTGCACGGTTCTGTTTGACGAGCGCATTGATGTGTTCTACACAGAATTAGAGGTCTTAACTGGGCGACTCAGTCATAATCAGCGAGTAGGTGTGTGTAAACATTTTACTGGGACTTTGAAGCAACACCAGGAGTCGGCTGGTTCTGGGGATGCAGAAATTACAGAAGCTGTACACACAAAGCGTCTTTGATGCTCACTAATCTTTTCTTTTTTCTTCTGTCTTCATCCAGAGCCAGGCTTCTTGTTGTAAACAGTGGATTAAACCAAAGCACTGATTTAATTCTGAGGGTCACATGATTTCAATTTAAGAAGCAACTCAGATTCTTATGCCACTTTTCTTGTATTCAGGAAAAAGAGTAAAATCTCCTGAAAGAGCAACATGATGCACAAGACGTCGTTGTCAGAAACAAACATCAGGAGGAAAACAAAATAGATTTGAGGAGAAGGGGTTCTCTGCAGACTCAAAGTAGGTGTTTCTCAAGCAGAAGCACTGACTGGCTGGTTGTATCTGCTCTGCTTTGGTTCTTCTCATTCATTTTTCTTTCACTTCTGATTTTAACTACTTTCACATTCATTTTAACAGCCAACACAGATTTTTTTTAAATGAAATCGCAATGTATTATTAAAAACAAGCATTTAGTTCCCCCTATTTCTAAATCTCGCAAAAAATAATCATAAAAAAATCCACCACAAATTGATATTGCTCTTATTTTGAAATGTAACCGGGAGAGAAGCATAAATAATGACTGAAGACGTCGAGTCCAACATTGACGGCGTCTTCATTTAAACATTAATAATGGAGGCTAACATGATCTACCTGCTGTTATTATTCCAGAGACTTCTGACGACCTCAGTAACAACAGCAAGTTCATAAAATTAAACAAATGAAAGTTTAATGCTAGAAAAATAAGCTAACAATATGAAGAAATGCCTAAGCAACAATCATCCAATCAGGTGCAGCCCTTGAAAAACTCTCATCCAATCAGGTGCAGCCCTCGAAAAACTCTCATCCAATCAGGTGTAGCCCTTGAAAAAAGCTCATCCAATCAGGTGTAGCCCTTGAAAAAAATCTCATCCATTCAGGTGTAGCCCTTGAAATAAGCTCATCCAATCAGGTGTAGCCCTTGATAAAAGCTTGTCCGATCAGGTGTGTGTCTTGAAAACATTCCTTTGGAAGTGCCTGCTTGCAGACGTACCTACTTGAATTTGACCAAGTGAATCTTAGACTGACCAGAGGAGGCGGGCAGCGCCCTGTTAGCTTTCCAACATGCAGTTTGATCAAGTCTCCGTTCACAATCTGGGTCAAACTGGAATGATTGGTGAAAGGTTTCTTGTCGTGCAGCGATGCAAACTAATCAGGCGCAGGTTTTTACTTGTTCCAAACAAAGTGACGAGCGGCTGAACGACAGCGATCTGTCGTTCACGCAGCCCTAGCTGCTGCATGAACCTCCGACGCATCTCGGCCTTCTCACATCGCTCCTCGCAGAGCGCCGTCGACCACCAGATGCAATCGAGTGTCGCTCATGATCCAGACGAGGTGACGTGAGGTGACGGCTGTTGCTCAGTTTCTGTAATTACTGGGTCTGATGTGCAACTGATGGAAGGTTATAGCTTATAATTAATGCTGTTTGGCTAAACATCAAGTCAGAATGTGTAGGTCTGTGTGGGAGCACAGGTGCTCATATGTCTGACACAAAAACATGAAGCATTTTGTTCAGGGCTGTGCATTTATACAAAAAACACAGGAAGTTTCTACAACTTTATTTTATCCTGTCGTCTTATTGAAGATGAGCCTGCACAGATCTTAAATCTTTTTTTGTGCATGTTTTATTCTCTGTATTTGTGTTATTTCTCTTATCTTTTATTGCTTTTATTGTGCTGTTCTGAGTGCATGTTTATTTCTACTTGGCGTTAACGTGGTGTAGGCCTGGGCGATATGGCTAAAAGAATTTTTATTTGTTTATTTTTAAGCAGTTATGAGGTGTGGTGGAGAAACAAGAACCTCCTGCACATGACTCCACATTTTGTTTGCTAACTTACCTTGTTTAGCTGCAGGTTTTTAACTGTTGAGGTGTCATATTAACACCGTCTTCAACTTTTAGACGCCTCATATCAGAGTAACAGCATCCTAAGTCAATACTTCATTTCATATTAATCCTACAATGATGGACCGGTCCAGCAAGCTCAAATGTGCCGACAAGGAGAAAGAAACACCGGTTTACACATTTCAAAATAAAGCGTGAGCCATTATTTTTTTGGCTGACATTTGTCACCTCCTAACAGTTTGAAGCTTTTATTTTGAAGGTGAATCTTAGCTTTTGCGATGTTGTTTAGATGAGAGCTCTTAGCTTATTTTACCAGAGAGTTATCAACCGTTAGCAGTTATCAGTGAAATTATTGATGTTATTTCGAACGTGTTTTATATTTATATTGAACACGTTTATCGCAACATATATCGTTTTTGAATTATCACTCAGCCCTAACGTGTCGAGCATAGTTTCTACAACAAAACAATATATTTTTAATCCTAACTTTTGAAGCAACCCGTCAAAATAAAAGCGGTGACACACGAAGGATCAGTGCAATGATTTATGGTTTATATGTTGATTTAATTTGCTTTCTAAATCGCAGGACCTGCGATGCAAATATTGCACACAGGTATGCTGTAAAGATATATTGTGCAGCTAGCTCTACATTTGTTCATGCTTTTTTAATGTTTGTACACATTAACAGGTTTTTCATATACTGTATTAGAACTTTAAAATATGGTTTGTTTTTAATTATATTACCAGTAGAGTTGCCTTCTTTAAAGCAAATATTAAAACTTTACTAAACATTTAATGTCTAAGTATATTTAATTTAAAGGTACAGGTTAGTCGAAAACAAAAGCATAAAATAAGAAAAATAATTGCCACAATTTTATCTATATGAGTGATGTTTGAGACTGTAAATTGGTCATTTAATTTACATTTCTGATGGAATGAAGCCATGTCAGACAGTTTTAACCATCTGGAATCTCTATAAACTTGTCAAGATTTTAAAGCGTTCAGTCAGGGGTCAAAGGGTCTCGCATCCTTGTTGTCCCCGTCCCTCGTCCAGACAGATAATCAGCCACATCTACAGCACAAAACAAACCACTGTGAGCTCAGCTCTCCTCCAGCCTTCAGTCACGTCATCGTTCCTTTTCGCCGACGTTTAAACGCAGCCTATACGTCGCGGCTTGTGCGCCGCCTCCTCCGACCTCTGTGACCCCCTACACAGAGGGGTCCTTGTTCGTGTGCACGAAGGAAGTCTCGTCTGACTCGTCTGCATCAGAGAGATAATGACAGACCCTCTGCAACCAGTGGAAGAAACACAAGCTTGTGTTGGCAGAGGTGATGGCGACGGAGCGTCAGTCTGTGGAGAGACAGCGGCTCGTTAAAGACTTTACCATGAGGGCTTTAGTGTGCGGGGGGGGCGGGGGGAGGGGGGCAGTATTGGAGGAAGATGCATTGGGTCTGGG